AGGATCAGGTTTGCAGGCCTTATCTTTAACAGGCTGGAGCCCATTAGCAAGCAAAGATAAGACTTCTCCCAGAAGAACGGGGCACCTTCACTGCCAGGATTAGAAAGCAGCATTCACAAGACATGCACGACAAGTACTGCCAATGAGAAATTGTCAAAGCCCGGGAGTGAACTGACCTGGAAGTCTGGATACAGGGTCCCTCACCTTGAGTCTGGTCTGCAGGCAAATACTTTCAAGCCCCAGGCCTCTCATAACTGGGAACCTTGCAGAGGTGACAGTTTCACTCCAAGCAAAAGGGCAACACAAGTCAGCTTTGATAGGTCTAAAACAACTTGCAAATTGGAGCCAAGCATGTAAAGATTGGCTTCAAAACTTCTGAAATATCGTTCGCCAGAACTGTAGTCTTCTACCAGGCTTACCTCTTTCAGCTTCGCTTCAACAAGATTTTTTGTCTTAGGAAACACAGATTACATGTGAAAAACCTCTGACCTAGAGAAGTGCAGCCTCTTCACAAGTATTCTTGTCAGCTCCCCAAGAGAAACAACTCAAGCTGAGTTACTAGCCTAGTAAATAATTTCTTTTTGTCTAGAATGCTTGCAGGAGTCAAAGAGACTGAGAAGAGTCTAGATTGGGAAGAGAGCTCAAGACTCCCCATATATGTCACCACAGGGATGACCCATCTCTAAAGCACGTATGACCCTACTGATGCACACAGACGCTGACCAGATGCAACTACAGGCTACTTCAGATGGCGCTGGAGCCCCTTCCACACTAAGCTTTCCTCTGCCCAGTGAAAGCTGCTGGGTACCATGACTAGAAGCTCCCTCCTACAAAAGGCGCCTCTAATGGGAAAAGAAACACCGTTTCAGGACCTCCACAACACGGTATGTTGTCTTCACAGGGATCCCCCAGGAGACAGAAACAAGCAAGCCAACCCAGCATTTCCACCTCTGCTGTACCAGGAAGGTGAGTATTTTGCAGAGCGTTGAGACACACATACTTCATACACTTGTCCAAAGCATGGCATTTTCCAACTCATCTGATACTTTGATGTTCTCTTTCTCATTTGAAAACTCCCTACTGAGAAAGAGAGAAGGAAGAAAAAAAACAAACAAAAAAACCCCTGCTTATCCTAAAGCCAGACCTTCTCTATGCTACAGAAGAGACATTTCATTGGAGAACATACCCCACAACAGAAACTGGGCCAGGAGATGTGAGAAAACACACATCCTGGCAACGCTGTTGGAAGAAACATAAGAACTTCTCTCCACCTGACTAACTTGTGGTTGTTGAAAAACCCGTGGCACTTCTGGCAACAGGAGCAGTGCTCTGGCTACAGTCCAGCTGTAGTGATTCCATGTCTGCTCACAAGGTGTCAACTGAATAGTTTCACCCCTCCTGTAGCCTGCCTCTTTGCCCCATCCTGGGCAGAACACTGCCAGATGCGAAGGTAAAGAGGTTGCTGCCCATCACTCCTTCTAGAAAGATACTGTTTGTGGCAAGGCTTGGAAACAGTCTCAGCTCCAGAGATACAAATCCCTTTGTACAATACACATCTTTCCCACTACCAACCCAGCCTTCAGAGCAGGCACTGCCAAGCTGGGAATCCTGCAATGCAAAGTCACTGAAGGTACCTGGGTGAAACAGGACCTTTCCAACCTCTTCTCTCTGAACTTCCCCTGTGCCCCAGGCTTTCGCCCTTCCTCTGTACTGTAAACAGATTGCTTCTCAAGTCCCATTCTGCTCTTTGGGGATTTCAAATCCAGAATCTGCTTGACACGTGCAAGAGTCTGTTCCTTCCTCCTTGCGCGCTCCCCCGCCCCCTGGAATTGGACGTCGTTGTTCCATTTTGGAGACTATTATACGCAGAGACTCATCGGACCGGGAAACAAAGAAGTTATTACTTGACAGAGCCCTGCAGCTGGGAATGTGGAAGGCGGTGGGGGGAGAGGAGGGGGAGCACTGAGAGAGACAGGACGGGGAGGGGGGGTTGGTGGCAGCATTATGAAAACGATCAACAGCAAGGACAGCTCAAAGATGGGAAACATCTATTTTAAAAAGTCTCAAGTGAGATGAGAAAAGAAGGAGAAGAGAAAGCAAGTCCAAAACAGAGAGCGGAGAAGAGAGAAAGCAGTTGGTGCCGACAGTGCCACGGGTTAAAACACACGGGTCTGTGGGTTTGTGTAGCCTTTGATTCAGCACTGACACGCTTTGGCAAGGGAGGCCACCGGAGCTGTCAAATCCTTCACCAACGTGCCCATCAATTGTATTCAGCTCTCCCCGACCCGCACTGGCATTTTAATTACTGTTGGGTAAACTAATTTGTACAAATGAAGGCAACTCTGCCTAATAGAATATGCAAGCTCTCTGACCTCTGACAGGCGATGACACAAGATACAAAGGAGGCAGAGGAAGGCTTTTTATCAGAGCCTTATTACTCTCTATTACTCCAATTAGTTAAGCTCCAGTGCTCCTAATTGGGGGAAAAAATTGCAATTAAATCAATTTTTGATGGGCTGAAAGTG